ACAGGGATGAATCGAACACACCGGAATGAGAGAGATCCGAGGGTTGTATAGGTATGAGACTGTACAGTATAAGATAACATAAAAGAATTAGTTCAGCTACTCATAGCAATAAGGTGCACCTACCTTTTTGGTTGACTATCCCGAGAGAACTCCAAAGTTAAGCATGCTGGCTCTAGAGTAATCTCAGGATGGGTGACCTACTGGGAAGTGTCTCGGTATGCGTGCGAGAGAGGACAAAACACGCTGAAAGGTCTCGGGTTGCTGTGTGAGGGCAGTTTCGTCAATTCGTAGCGGCCTCGGGTCGTTACAGATGGTATCAGAGCCGATACTCTCCCAGTACGGTGTTGTTCGAGGACGAACCAGGCGGAAGCTGGTGGGCCTGTGACAATCCAGAGTACCGTAGGAGGGCAGGGAGTGATCGTCGGTGCAGAGGCATAGACAAGGGGCGGCTCCTGACGAGCTTCTGGGTAGGGGGTACAGGGATGAATCGAACACACCGGAATGAGAGAGATCCGAGGGCTGTATAGGTATGGGACTATACAGTCTAAGATAACATAAAAGAATTAGTTGAGCTACTCATAGCAACAAGGTGCACCTACCTTTTTGGTTGACTATCCCGAGAGAACTCCAAAGTTAAGCGTGCTGGCTCTGGAGTAATCTCAGGATGGATGATCTACTGGGAAGTGTCTCGGTATGCGTGCGAGTGAGGACAAAACACGTTGAAAGGTCTCGGGTTGCTGTGTGAGGGTAGTTTCGTCAATTCGTAGCGGCCTCGGGTCGTTACAGCTCCGGTGAACAACATCAAGGACCTTTTGCTAAATACCTAGAGGAGTGTGGTATTTTTCCTCAGTACACTATGCCAGAAACTCCTAGCATGAATGGTGTTTCTGAACGACGAAACCAAACACTCAAAGATATGGTAAGAAGTATGTTAAGTCATACTACATTACCGGAATTTCTCTGGGGAGAAGCATTAAAGACAACCGCTTATATTCTCAATAGAGTACCAACAAAGACAGCTAAGTGAACTCCTTACGAGCTTTGGACAAGGAAGAAACCAGTCTTAAAGCATTTAAGAGTTTGGGGTTGTCCAACAGAGGCTAAATAGTATATCCCATATGAGGATAAATTAGACAATCAGACAGTTAGTTGTTATTGTGGGATACGCTGAGAAATCAAAGGGGTACAAGTTTTACAATCCCAAGAACCTAACTATGTTCGAAACGGGAATAGCTCATTTCTTTGAGGATGTTGAGCTTGAGGGGGAAGATAAAGTACGAGAAGTTGTCTTTGAAGAAGAATTTGTTCCTCTTCCGGCTATGGTTGACTTTGATATAACACATCAAGATCAGCAAGACAACACTCAACTTTCCGGATAACCTCAACAAGTTGATCCAGAAATTCAACCTCAACAAACTCGAGAAGAAATTCCATTAAGGAGATCCATTAGAGAAAGAAAAAGTGCGATACGAGACGATTATATCGTGTTTCTTCAAGAGCATCAAGAATGCTTAGATTTGATTGATGATGATCCAATCAACTTCAGTCAAGTCTTGCAAAGCTCGGATTCTCAAAAGTGGATAGATGTCATGAATGATGAGTACAAGTCCATGCAAGACAACAGTGTCTGGGAACTTATTCTGTTACCTGAAGGCACAAAACCTATTGGTTGTAAATGGATATTTAAAACCAAAAAGGATTCTAAGGGTAATGTGGATAAGAATAAAGCTCGTCTTGTAGCTAAAGGATTTACTCAGAAAGAAGGCATTGATTATAAAGAGACTTTCTCTCTAGTTTCATCGAAAGATTCTTTTAGAACCATAATGGCATTAGTAGCTCATTATAACTTAGAGTTACATTAGATGGATGTAAAGACAACGGTTCTCAATGGTGACATTGATGAGACAATCTATATGTAACAACCGGAAAACGTTGTAATAGGAGATGCAAAGAAAATGGTTTGCAAATTGAAGAAATCCATCTACGGGCTAAAACAAGCATCCCGTCAATGGTTTCACAAATTCCGATAAGTAGTTTGCTCATTCTTTTTTGAGTCAAATGTTGTTGAAGAATGCATATATCATAGGTTCAGTGGGAGTAAATGTATTTTTCTAATTTTGTATTTCGATGACATACTGCCTCAAACGATATAGGTTTGATGCATGAAACAAAGACTTTCTTATCAAAGAAATTTGAGATGAAATATCTTGGCAATGCAACCTTTGTATCAGGAATCCAGATATATCGAGATTGTACTCGAGGTATTCTTGGATTATCATAAATGCACTATATTGAAAAGATATTAGCAAGGTTCGGTATGAAAGACTGCAAGATGGAAATACCCCTATTGTTAAAGGTGACAAGTTTAGTCTTACACAATGTCCGAAGAACGATTTTGAGCGAAAACAGATGGAAGACATTTCTTATGCTTCGGTATTTGGAAACTTAATGTACGCTCAAGTGCGTACGCGTCCAGACTTAGCGTACGCAGTTGGGATGTTAGGAAGATACTTAAGTAACCCTGGTGTAGATCATTGGAAGGCAAGCAAAAGGGTTTTAAGGTATTTACAGAAAACCAAACATCTCATACTGACTTACAAAAAATCAGATCATTTGGAGATCAACGGATATATTGATTCTGCTTTTGCTGGATGCCAAGTCAGTCGTCGATCCACTTCAGGCTATGTTTTTTTGTTAGACAGTAAAGTTGTGACGTGGAAAAGTGTTAAACAAACACTAACGGCATCTTCAACCATGAAAGCAGAGTTTATAGATTGTTATGAGGCATCTAACCATGGAGTGTGGTTGCGGAACTTTGTTACAGAGCTGCATATAGTTAATAAAGTTGAAAGACCGTTAAAGATATACTGTGACAATAAATCATCGGTAATGTATTCCAACAACAACAGGAGCTCGTCTAAGTCAAAGTATATTGACATTAAGTTTCTGATTGTAAAAGAGAGAATACAGAGTAACCAGATAATTCTAGAATATATCGGAACAGTTTCAATGATTGCAGATCCGTTTACTAAAGGCAAGCAAAAGGGTTTTAAGGTATTTACAGAAAACCAAACATCTCATACTGACTTACAAAAAATCAGATCATTTGGAGATCAACGGATATATTGATTCTGCTTTTGCTGGATGCCAAGTCAGTCGTCGATCCACTTCAGGCTATGTTTTTTTGTTAGACAGTAAAGTTGTGACGTGGAAAAGTGTTAAACAAACACTAACGGCATCTTCAACCATGAAAGCAGAGTTTATAGATTGTTATGAGGCATCTAACCATGGAGTGTGGTTGCGGAACTTTGTTACAGAGCTGCATATAGTTAATAAAGTTGAAAGACCGTTAAAGATATACTGTGACAATAAATCATCGGTAATGTATTCCAACAACAACAGGAGCTCGTCTAAGTCAAAGTATATTGACATTAAGTTTCTGATTGTAAAAGAAAGAATACAGAGTAACCAGATAATTCAAGAATATATCGGAACAGTTTCAATGATTGCAGATCCGTTTACTAAAGGTTTATCATCCAGTGTTTTTCTTGAGCATGTAACTCAAATGGGTATTGTATCATTTGATGATATGTAGTTTCAGTGGGAGCTGTAAATAAGTTTGTTCTATGAATAAAAGAATTCTGCAGAAATAAGGTTTATCGGTTACGAGACTCAAAAAAAAAATTTGGTATAATGTGAATTGTATTCCAAAAAAAGGTTTTCTTTTACACACCGATCATTTGACCATATTCAATCGTCTAGGGAATACCATGTGCAAGTGGTTTTTACAAGTCAAAATTACATAAGCTCAAATTTCAATTTGTTAATGTGATATAGAACCAATCTTCTAGTAGAGACCCCTGGGTGGTTGGGTTCTTCTTCAAAACAGAGTAAAGGATATTTCTCATGCATCTATCCAGCTTCCACCAGATGTGCTCGAGTGTTTTAGATCGACCCCGGAATATACGATTGTTCCTCTCTCTCCATACCTCGTATGTTGTGAGTTGTGCAAGAAGCTTCACCATCAAGAAATGGACCAGTTGAAAATCAAAACATGTCCAAACAAGACATAAGGTTTTCATGTTGTATACCTATACATGATCTATGTCGTTAGGTAGAGTGGCATAACGTGATTTTGGAAGGTTTAGTTACGTTCTAAATTCCAGAACAGTTCTTTGTGTGGTGTGCATGATTATTGGTCCACTATAAAATATTCCGCAATATACAATATAGTATTTGTGTAAAATACTAACAATATAAACTTTTTTAATCGAGGTATTATAGATTTTTGAATTAATTATTGAAGATAATATTATATATATGATCATAACATTAAAATGTACGAGTACATAAACAACTATAAAGTTATTTCTTTAATTATAATCATTTAGAAATACTTCTCTCTACTCTACGATTTGTAAAAATATTTTTTTTATAAAGGATTGAGTTTAAGAGCAAAGGTACAAAGCAAATGATTTTTGAATAATTATTTTAAAATCAATTTTAATTGAAAACAAATGAAAATGGCCGGTTACGTATGAATATTTTGTATTTGTATATTGTAAATTAACTATTTTACGACTCATATGTTACGATTTTTTGGATATTGCTACCTCTTTTGCCACTTATTTGTCTTATTAAACCTCAAAATAAAATGAAAAATATCTGTCAAATGAAAAATTAAGAAAAAAGCGAAAAAGTACATTTTTTCTGATATATTGGGAAGAATATATCGTTTGTGCTATTAAAAATGTTTTATTAATGACTTATTTGCGATTTTATAAAAATATGAAACTCTGTAACGTTTTTAAAACAGAAAAAATACAAATCTAAAATACCTGAAAGTTTTTTTTACCCAATCTTAGTTTCAACCATTCAAATATAAAAGTAAAAAAAAAAGATATTGATAGACAAAACAAATCCAACTTGAAATAAGCGTAACTTTTTTTTTATAAAAACAATAACATGCTTCCTAGTAGATGAGATCATCCATTCACATATTAACGTAAGATCCGTGGGAAATTAATATAACACATTATGTACATCCAAAACCCAACCAAATATATCATCCAAAGAGCAAAAGCTCACATTATATACATAGCCAAAGAGCAAAAGCATTTAAAAACCAAAACCAAAAGCCCAAAATTGAAACATAATTTGTATGTCCAAAGCCTCTTGCAGGAATCTGTCAAGATTCCGAAACACCAACACTTGAAGAAGGTCGCTGCTGTGAAGAAGAAGAAGAAGAAGGGATTCCACTTTGGCTAAGCAACAAGTTCTTCATCTCTTTGTAACACCTAAGCTCTTCCAATGCATCCGCCGTCGTCTTTGATGCCCCGACAATCCCCGAGGCTGCCGCCGTTACCGCTTTCTCGGGTACCCGTCCCGAAGCATTACTATTCTCGGGTATCCGTGGTTCACAGAGATTAATATTGCAGTTCACTGATGCACTGAAATAGTCTTGCCTGAGTGGTGGAGCTTTTTTCAGCATCCTCACGAGGGCTCCGACTGCTGCATCTTGTGACTTCTTCATCGGGAAGAACCCATTTGTCTCGAGTTGCTCGGGAGTATCTCCTCTCTGCTCGAAAGATTCGGGTCTGAGATTATACAAAAAAAAGGGCAAGAACTCTCCATCAGATTGCTTAAAAACATCAATCAGATTTTCTAAAAAACATCCAAAGAGTTCCAAGATCAATTCTTTGTGATCTTTGAAGCCAAATACCACAAATGATGACACCATTTACAACGACCCAACAGGATAACGGTCAATGGACATAAAATATAACGGAGAAGAACAAAAAGAACCGAAAGCAATTAAAAAGAAACTATATGCTTCAATTGAAAATCAGAGAGAAGACACTAAGACAGATTTTTCTTATGGAATTAGAAGTACCTGCTTGTCGGGTCTGTGATATCATCATATTCCACATCAAATGGGCAAGGAAAATCAGGATCATCGAAATCATCAGGCAAAGACCTACTGGAACTCCGAGAAAACGATATCTGCGGTGAGCTGTTGGACGATAACCTCACCCCAGAATGCCTTCGAGGGTCATCTCGTTGCCCCAAGAGAAAGAGCTACAAGAAGACATTACAAATTACATTTGTTTAGTCACATGGTCAAGAGAATTAGTGATCATCGAACATGATACAAATACGTGAGAGTTACCTTATCAATCGTTGCTCCAGATTCAGCGGGGACAGAGTTTCGACCAGGCTTCAAAGAGCAATGTCTCGACAATTTCATAGGAGAAGAAGGGGGAATATTCTGTTTGGAAGGAAAACTAGGAGAACTGATGAGCTTAGCAGCAGGA